GTGATAGTGGGCATCCTTGTCTTGTTCCTGTTCATAGAGGAAAAGCTTTTAGTATTTCACTATTGGGTATGATGTTAGCTATGAGCTTGTCATATATGGCCTTTATTATGTTGGGGTGCATTTCTTCTACACCTAGTTTGTTGAGAGTATTTAGTCATGAAATGATGTTGAATTTTGTCAATATTTTTTCCTGCATCTATTGAGTTGCTCATATGATTTTTTATACTTCATTCTGCTAGTGGGGTTTGTAACATTTATTTTCAGCATGCAAAAGACAATTTTTGCATACAAGGGATAAATCCCACTTGACCATGGCGTATGATCTTTTTAATGTACTATTGAATTCAGATTGCTAATGTTATGCTGAAGATTTCTGCACCTGTGTTCATCAGGGTTATTGGCCTATAATTTTCTTGTAGTGTTCTTAACTGTCTTTGGCATGAGGAGAATGCTGGCCTTGTAAAATGAGTTTGGAAGTGTTCCCTCCTCTTCAATTTTTGAAATGTTAGAGAATGATTGGTTTTAACAACTCCTTAAATATTTGGTAGAAAATGTTCTATGCGCACTAGAAAAAGATAGTTCCATTTGGGGATATAGTGTTCTTTAGCAAGTAATTTAAGTTAGTTGCTAGTGTTAAGTCTTCTTATTTGGATGGTTTTCTAACTTCTGTCAATAACTGAAAGAAGTGTATTAAAATTTTGACTGCATTTATGGGTATTGGAAAATGCTACCAACATGGGCATTTATTTTTCTGGACACTTCATTGTAAACTTTTACAAGCATAATAATGGAGCAATGCAGGTTATAATTATTGCCATATTATTCCCTTTTTCTATTTCTATCACTGCCTTCTTGCTGTTCTTGCTATTAAGTTCTCTGACTATCACATTTAGCATCCAGGCACCTCATTCCCAGGGAGGGTGAACAATGCTCAGAAAGGGTACTTGCATTTTGTCCTGTGACTAGAGAAAACATTGGGAACTTCCAGGCCTTAATTAGACCATACCAAAGTGTCCGTAGTAAAGGAATGCTACCCCATCTGCTATCAAGGAGATTTACCATCTCACAAGAAGAGATAGGAGCAATAATAGCCTGGGCACAAGACTGTAAGACATTTGTCAGTCTGGATATTTTGTAACTTCATAGCTTTCTTTTAGGTTAACTCTGTCAACATTTTCGGGAATTAGTATTTTATGATTTATTCCAAAAATAATTTCAATATTACCACTTATTATGGAAGAAGAGGAGCTGATTTTTGTTCAGCAGTCCTTCACACAAGGTAACCCATCATTTCAATTGAATGATCCAAAGAATCCAGGACTGGGTGGTTGCTGCCCTAATCATATTCTTTTCATGAGAGGGAAGTTCTACTGCTGGTCCTGTTAATGCAGTATGTAGAGCTAGGGCTGGGTCTGGTGGTCACAGACCCCTCGAGCCCATTCACAAACCCTTCACACACAGGTCTGTGAGCTAGGTAACCAGCAAAAAGGTCCTTGGAGCCTTGGCTGAAGGAGGAATAGTCTTTATTCAGCACACACACGTCTAATACCTAGGCAGTCCAAAGGGAAACTCAGAAACTCAACGACTACTGGCAAAGTCCACTGAAAAACTGAGCAGCTAACAGCAGAGTAAACATGCTCTATTTTTAGACATGAGCTCTACCAGCCAGCTTCTGCTTCACGAACTAAAGAACGCACAATAACAACAAAACTAAAAAAATACACTAATGCGCATGTACACTAACTCCACCCACATACAACTTGTTTACAAGAAATGTGCTGCATGACCCCCAACCGGATGGGGTGGGGAGGGGCTGACTAAACTATTCTATTTTCCCGACACAGTAAAATCTTAAGAGCCAACCTAGCAAAAAGATTAATATTCTCTTGAAAGCAATTGCATCACACCTGCATTTTTTCATTCATTGCACAATCTGCCACCAAACTGAAGTTCTTTGGGACATTATCCTATGGACCTTGTCATTTCTTTTTGTCTCTGATGGCCAGGGTCTTCAACATTCAACTAAGTCCAATCTTCAATAAAGAGCCATTGAAATGCTCTCTCAGACACGGGAAGCAGGGACCATGACTCTCACAGCCTCTGAGGAGAAGCAGCTGGGCCCTCAAGAGCTGAAGAGGTTTTTGTTCCAATCTGTTACACTCTGCATGGGTGGAAAGCTGCTTCACAGCTGACAGTAATAGTCTGCAGCATCTTCAGCCTCCACGCTGCTGACTGTCAGAGTGTAACATGTTCCAGACCCACTGCCACTGAACCTGGAGGCCAGATTTGATGTGTTATATACAAGGAGCTTTGGAAGGGTTTCTGGCTTCTGTTGGGTCCAGTGCAAATAGCTGGTATTTACACTTGAGCTGGCCCTGCAAGTGATAGTGACTCTCTTTGTTTGGGAAATTGCTACAGCTGCTGGAGACTGGGTCTCCATTCGACACTTGTGAGCAAAAATAGAGATATAGGAATATCTCCATACCATGCAATATGCAGACATAAGTTTAAAAAAAGTCTGTCTTAGACTCAAATTCCTATGGATAAAAGAATCCTGAGTTTACAGGCTCTCTCTCTCTTACCTGTGACAGTGAGCAGCAGGAAGCTGAAAATGTGAGCCTGAAAATCCAGAATATTGGCGGAGCCCTGTCACAGGCTAAACGTACCTCTTCTCATGAGAACAACCATTAAAAGCAACTCTGAACATTTGTGGTTTCTGAAAAAGTGATAGGCAAATTGACAGGGTATAGACTAGGAGACTAGGAGTTTTTAAGCTCTTAAGTCCATGTGGTCCTTCCACTTACTTGTATAAGTTAAGTCAGTACAGGATGGGGAAAGTTCTCAGTTCTTTTTCTGAGGTGGTATAAAACCTTGTCCAGGGCATCACTGTGTGTTTCTGTGCAGACAGGCTTAATTCAACCTCTAATGAGAGCTCTACTAGGTGGTGTATGCATTATAGTTGCTCTGTGATAAAAATCTGCTAAAGATTGCTGTAGGTAATGTCCATCAGAAAATCTCAACCCCCATAGATTTGCCTCCTCTTTCCCTGGCAGCTGCTCAGCTGCAACTCTGCCCATCACATTCTCCTTAAAGGACTCTGAACGCACTAAGTACTGAGAAAACTCTTATACCAGTGTGTGGTCTGGAACCTAGATATCCTCATGGATGTTTCCACAAAAGGAAAACACTGGTTCCGTCCAGACAAGAGAAGCCACCAATAAGGCAAAGCAAAATACACCCTTCTGTCTAATACAGAAGGAAATGTACCTATTGGTTCATTAGCAACTGTAATATATCCAGCACTCTTCCCCAGGCTGGTTTTAAAAGGATCCTGGACTTTGAGGAGCTGGAATAGAGACACATATTAAATAACTACAAATCAAAGTGATAATTATTTTAGTCACAATATGAACAATGTCATGTTACTGAGGTGTTAAACTAGAGGTTATATTACTGAGATGTTAAACTAGAGGTTATATGTTATTTGGGAGTGCTGGAGAATAGTTTTCATATAGGTTATTGTATGAGTCCATTTTGTGTTGCTATAACAGAAATACCTGAGACTGGGTAATTTATAAGGAAAAGAGGTTTATTTGGCTTATGATTCTGGGACAGCTGCATCTGGCCCGGGCCTCAGGCTGCTTCTAATCACGGTGGAAAGTGGCAGGCAGCTGGCGGGTACAGGCAGATCACATGGTGAGAGAGGAAGCAAGAGAGAGAGAGAGAGAGTGGAGGTGCCAGGGTCTCTTTAAACAACCATTTCTCACAGAAACTAATAGAGCAAGAACTCACTCATTAATCCCCTGTCTCCCAGGGAGAGAATTAATTCATTCATGAGGGATCTGCCCCCATGACCCAAACAGTCACACTGGAGATCAGATTTTCATGAGTTCTGGGAGGACAATACATCCAAACTCCATCAGTTATATATTAATTATGAAAGAGTGAGTGAGAGTACTAGAGGCAGACAATTTAGGTAAGAGTTTGATCAAGGCTAGATTTTGAAAATTATTACTTAGTCGCACAGTAAATTTAGATTTTATCCTTGTATACATTGAAGAGATATAGGGACTACAAGGAAACATTGAAATAGCTTCTGTGCGACCTCAAGGACGAGTTGATTCTCTTGTGAAAGTATTCTCCCTTTCTCGTTCATTGGTTCTCAAAGATTAGGAATAAAAATAACTTGGAAATTGTGAATAAAGTTCCATTGCCTAAGAGATACTTATTTGTTAAGTGGTGTTGAGTTCACCTTCATTCTCCCTTTTAACTCCCTAGGCATCATTTTCAAAAAATAGTTAAGAAAATGTAAGGGTTTATTTCACGACTCTCAGTGCCGTCCTGCTGACGTGTGTGCTCATCCTTGTGCCAGTAGCACCTTGTCCTGAGAACTGTAGTTTACAGCTCGCCTGTGCTGTGTAGCATGTTTGAAACTGGGAATTGTAAACCCTCCAACTTGCTTTATTTCAAAGTTATTTTGACTATTCTAGGCCTTTAGCATTTTATATAAATTTTAGAATCAGTTTGCCAAATTGTACAAGAATTTTGAATCTGGGAATTTGACTGAGATTGCCTTGAATCTATAGATTAAGTTACACATAATTGTCATTCTAATAATAATGAGTTTTCCAATCCATGAACATAAAATGTCTGTCAGCTTATTTAGATATTTTTAAATTTCTCTTCATAATGTTTTATAGATTTTAGCAAATGTCTTACTTTTTTGTTAAATATATTCATAAGTATTTTGTCCTTTTTGACACTTTTGTTAATAGAATTGTGTTCTTAATTTCATTTTCAAACTGATCAGCAGTAGCATTAGATCCTTATTATTTGCAGGTTCTGTATTTGTGAACACACCTATATGTGAGGTTCATTTGTAACTCCACAGTCAATACTTGTGGTATCTTCATGATCATTTGTGCTGCCCAACACACATGCTCCCAGCTGAGGTTAAACAAGGCCACACTGACGTCTCATTTCACCTCTCATACTCTAAACGAGTATTCTTTTTGTGCAGTTTGGTGCTTGGTGATAGTAATTTTTCTGTTCAAAATGTTCCTGAAGCATAACGTTTTTAAAAATTTTTATTTTATTTTGTCAATATACAATGTGGTTGATCATTGTGGCCCATTACCAAAACCTCCCTCCCTCCACTCTCTCCCACCTCCCTCCCAATAGGGTCCTTTCTGTTCACTTGTCTCAACTTCAAGGAATTGTAATTGTTGTGTCTTCTTCCCTCCCCCTCCCCACTCCTGGTTTTTTTGTGTATTTATTTATTTATTTTTAGCTCCCACACATAAGTGAGAACATGTGATATTTCTCTTTCTGTGCGTGACTTGCTTCACTTAATAATTCTCTCTAGGTCCATCCATGTTGTTGCACATGGCAGTATTTCATTCTTTTTTATAG